CTCTCTTCTATTCCTGATGTAATGTCCAATTTCTTAGTCAGCATATATACCTGCCACTGACTTGGTGGTGAAAGGCAGAGCCTGTAGACGAGACGGGTCATCATGTCGACGTAATTGTTCATTTAAAAAAAATAAAGGCCTCGCACTTTTTATCCACTCACGGCTAATCTTTTTCGCCACTGGCCGTTTCTTGATTGATTATCGCTATGCCCCGACTCGTGAGGGCTCGAGACCTTAACTCCAAGGCAAGCTTTAACGTATAGGCCCAATTCTACAGTAATATCAGACCGCTGTATGCCGCTCCTCTTGCTTTTTACCTACGCACACGTTTACTTTCGGTCTAGGCAATGCTTCTGCAGTTGATTACTGCCCTCGGAGCTCTGCTGGGTGCCTCCCTGAGCCTCATCATGGCAGGCGTCGGAGTAGACACCAGCCTACTTGGTTTTGGACCCACCGTTCTCTCCCCAGAGCTTTTTGTCACTCGACTGCTTCCACTGACTGCAGGCGGTTTCATCTACATCGCTCTCGCCTCCGTGATACCCCAATTGTTGAGTTCCAACGGCGAATCGGCTTCTCTTCAGGCTAAACCCAACATGTCACGGCGTTTTGCGCAGTCCTGTGCGGAGTTGGGCGCTCTCTTTCTTGGTGTTTTCCTCATGGTTCTAATCACAGTGTTTGAGTGAAGCGCGGCCCCCTCTCCTCCCTCAATTCGCCTACTTTTGATGTATTTCCTGCTCTCTTGACTATATATTCGTAAAGTTTGTTTTCTGGTCGGCTGGCTAACTCGGATCTCGGGCATTTTGCATTATTTTGCGGTTTCAGAGCTCCCTTCTCTGTCTTCCTTCGTTTGTTGCTCGGGCCGCCTGTTGGAAGGGCTTCTTCTGAGGCACCCTTTTCTTCAATCCGGTTCCTGAGAAATGTTGGATTTTCTATTCCCTCACCAAGTTGTATTTTAAGAGCTACAAAAAGTGGCCTCATGAAGTCTTGTTTTTTTCCTACTGTGATAGCCCGTTAACCCCTGGTGGTGGGGTTCTCTTCCCAGATGCCTCCTTGACTGCGAATGGCAGTAGCTGCATTGATGTCGAAGTTGCTTGCTGCGTGGTTTTCGGGCAACTTCCAACGCACTACCGTCATACAGCGAAGCGAAGTTGGCGCAACATTCAAATATATTTTTTTTCGGGACCAAGAGAACTCGAGACGTAGCACTTCGGTAGTTAATGTCGTGTTCAACTTATTTTGGGGAGTAGCTCTTCCGCTTTCTGCATTTTCTCATTCTGAGCCTGCTGCGTTGGGAAGGCACGAAGAAAGTGGACGCAGGCCTTTTGATACAAAACTGGGCTCCTGCTCACAAGGAAGGTGGAAATTTTCACTGACGAAACACATCTGTTTTTTTTAAGCTAGTACCTGTGCTGCCAGTACGGTCCATAATTACGAAGAAAGTGATTATCTACCAGCTCAACCGTCGCGGACGATGTCAAATGCCTGCTCAAACACTGGTAGATTATTTTATGGTGAGGTGGGCTTGCAATGCGTCTGTCGCACTCCTTCTCCATTCACCCACGTCGTTTTGATGACAAGGCATAGTTAAAACGAAC